TTTTTGCATTTTGTTACAAAAACGAAAACTTTAACAACGTGAATATTGCAAATTATGGCAGTCAGATCAGAAATTGGCAGCGTCTAAACACGTTAGACCGGATCCGGAACATATTTTTTAGCGAAGCGCCCTCGGGAGCGAAAAATAATCTGGGTTGATGAATTTAGTCCGGCAGGCCGACTTAATTATTTTAATCAAAATTGACCGAACCGAATTTGGCTTCGGGAAATTCGACCCTCGCATGAGATTTTCAATTTTTGGCTTGGCCGCGTTTTACGGGGGCTGCGGGTAGATCGTTGCCTAATTTCGAAATTAATTAGGTCCGATTTTTTTTGCCAAGTTTGATAGGGGAGTTTTTCAAACATTTTACGTAAATTTCGATTATTTTCGTTGATTCGGTTCACAAAAAAAATTAATTGTACACTTAATTAATATCTAAGATGATAATATAAAAACAACGTTCAACGCAGTTGTAGACTCCCATCATCTGGATTTCTCCTTAGTGTCGACTGTTTTTATATATTGACAAATCTTACTGTCTTAAGTTCAGTAGATTAAACAATGATATATCTTTTAATTTTAAATTCAATGGAGTAAGTTTTAAAGAAGTGAAGCATATCAGGGATCTTGGTGTAGACACAAAACTGAGTTTTAAAATTCATATTGAAAACACAGTGAAAAAGAAATACTAAAAGGACATCGAACTTGCATTGTCTTTATTTTTAACTTACAACAAATAATGTAAGTTAAAAATAAAGACAATGAAGTTCGACATCCTTTTAGTATTTCTACTGAATCAGTGTCTACCACCTTCAAGCAAACATAATGAAAAAGTCTTGCAGAAACTTGAGTTTTATTGCTTGCCAGTGTGATGTGGAGTCCACAATATCATACATAAAGAGAATTTACTTTTCGGGTAGGTTCTTTCACTGTGGCAAAAATAATAAGGAAAACGTCGGTTTTTGCTTAGTCGAAATTGCTGACGTTTCGCGAATTATCCTGTTGACTTCTTCAAAGCTTGACTGAAACTGGCTCGTATTTTAGTCTGTACCTGCTTATATATTGTTTGAGGGGGTGGGGGGCTAATGAGGGGTATAAACACCGTCTTGGATGACTGGATTACCAAATTGGTGACAGGTAGAGACGAAAAGTGACGAAAATGAATATTTCACTATGAGACTTTCACGAGCATGAAGAACGGTAGAATGCGCGTTCGGAATTTTAAATGCTAAATGGCGACTTTTATGGAAACCTATTGAGACACATCCAGAATTTGCGGATACAATTTTAGATCTTGAGGGAATTGATACTCAGTTAATCAATGAACATCAAAATGATCCTACATTATCTAATATAATTAATATTAGTATATAATATTAGTACAATTATTGCGTCTGATATTAGAGAGACTTTCCAAAAGTATTTATGTAATAATAGAATTGAAAACTTTGTAACTGTTAAATAAAAGATACTTACGATTCGTTTGACCTTTGCCACTTCATCCCATAATTTATATAAAATGTACCAGTTATGGTGATTTTTATCTTTTTGATCCCATAAACCCTCTCTCAGAACGACTAAATCTATTAATTTTTGACAATCCATGGTTTGTCTATAATGCGACAGAGCAACGAAAACAAAATTTTTTGAATCTCTACTACGTGCAGACGCACCTGTCTCCACAGGTTTGTTTTGGACGCGATGTCGCGCTGCTTGCTCGCCGCTCTCCTCGTCGCGCTATGTTCTTAGCCTTAGGCGAATAATATATAGTGGCATTTTTTGTATAATATTGTTAATAACAGGAACAGAGTAGACTGTCCAAAACTGTTGGAAAAATTATCTTTTAATGTTAAGGTAGTAATGACTAGAACCCCTGCTTTATTCTATGCACCTCAATATAGTACAAATTTAAGAAAGCATAATCTCTTTTGAAAAGAAATTATTACAGTTGCTTTTTGCACATCGATATTTTTCCTTTGTCGCTCAATTGATTTATGAATCAAGCAATAAGGGTGTTTCGCTCGGACTAAATTTATTTCTAAATTCTTACTTGATTTTCGGGTTTAGAAATAGTTTTGCTTACTCTTTTGAGTTAAGATAAATGGACTTAGTTTTAGTGTACCTTTGTAAATTGTGACGTTAGTTCGTTATTTTAGGGTACATTCTCATAATAAATAAATATGTTACTCTAGCATCTAAGCTTAATGGTAGTGAAAGAAAACCCTGAATGCAAATTCTACCAAGAGGAGGAGGAAACGTTATTCACTCTCACAGCCGAAAGCGAGAAGCTGCACTAGAGAGTCTAGCCAGGGAAAGGAAGCGAACTAAATGTCTATAATTATGGAGGGAGTCATAGTTGATCCTCTAGAGGTAGTAATATACTCGTTAACTATCCCAACCGTAATCTGCCTGCTCTGGTTTCTTGACAAAATGAGAAGTGAATGGTTTCTACAAACTGTATCACGGAAGATCAAATCAATATCGAGGCTGTAATCAGAAGAGGAGAAAACTCCAATTCATCTTCACCTGATTAGAAGTTCTATAATATCTGAATTCATTGAGCCGACGAACATCTAAGCTTCGCATGGAACAAGTGCTCTACTTTTTCGAGAGTACAGGGCTCTTCTGGAAGAGGATCAGAAGGCCCCAATTCAGCGCCATTACCATCAAAGGCGCCGCACATGCAACAATGAAGAAACCAGAACCACGCATCGAAGCAAATAACAAACCCCAAAAATCTTCCAATTTCAACGATAAAGTTCCTGGCCGCAAACATTTTGGATGTCATCATTTTAAATGACGGTTTTAGTGAAGCATTAAAAAGGAAAATTGAGAATTGAATCAAATGAGCTTATTATAGTACCGTGCGTTCAATTTTTCTAGATAGATAGATCTCAAGGTAAAAAAAAAACAAAATTTAAGATTAGTAGCCAAGTTTATTTCCAAGTGACGTATAAAACAAAACACTATCAATTTTCTGACATATATTTTATTCAATGCAACACCCTGTATATTATTTTTAACCTGGTCGCCTCACGTAGACCACCTGTGCGGTAAATTGTCTTCTCAGGTTTTTGTTCTGAGACAATTGTAAGGTTCCATCTCGCATAGTTTATTTTGCACTGTTTCATAGTGTCTTATCATATGGACTACTATTGTGGGGGAACGCGACGGAGGCCGAGAGAGCCTTTAGATTGCAGAAGTCTGCGGTTCGGGTTCTTGGGGATGTTCCGCCGCCCAATATTCACAAAATTGAAAATACTTAGGTCATGTTTATGTTTATTGTCCAAACTTTGGTTGAAATCCACTCAAATTTGTCTGTTTTTCCGACGCATGCTGGATATCGCAGCTACGTGACGCGAACAGCTGACAATATCATAACATCATAAGATCCAGGTTGTGTACTACACAAAAAAATAAACTTAATCTAGTTTCATATAATATTTTTGCAAATACTCTTTTTCGGTCCAAAAATATTGATATTAAACGATTTTCCATTAAAAAAATCAAACAATTATCAAAAACGTTTTTTGAATAGCATTGTTTCTAATCTATAAACGAATCTGTTACCCATCAGGCACAGTAGATCTAAGTTATTTTATAAAGTAATTATTCCTAGGGTGTGCAAAGTTTTACTTTCTGGTTACACTGGTTTAATTATTTATATGTAATATATTTATCTTGTTTGTACTCTTCCTGCTAAAAAGGTATGCCGGAATCATAATGTTTTAAATGAAGAAAATAAGGCAAACAAATTAGAATTCTATGAAGCACGTGCAGTTTCCTCTATTACTAGAGTATATGAAGAGACAGGTATATTCCGGGGATCAATCCACTTAGTTTTGAAAGAATATAAATATAATGCTTTTAAATTGCAGAACAATTTTAGTTTTGTTTGGATTTTTTAAATAGACATAATGAGAATAACAATTTTTTGAAAAACATTTTATGGATTGATGAAAGTTCCTTCGATACAAGAAAGGGTTGTACTAGACAAAATACGCCATAATGGGCTTTAAATAATCATAGACAAATACACGAAATAAAAACCCAGCGGTACCACTCACTTGATGTATGGTGTGGTGTCATAGATGGGCATATTTTGGGTCTGATATTTATAGATCAAAAGTTAACTGGAGGTCATTATTTGCAACTGTTAGAGCACCAAATAGAACAATATATAAACAATTTACCCCTAAAAATATCAGCGCTGATTATACCGCAGCAAGACTGTCGCCCTCCTCACAATGTTGTGGAAGTTAAAAATTTTCTTAACATGGAATATCCCAGGATTTGGATAGGGAACGGCGGAACTATGGATTGGCCAGCCAACAACCCCGACTTAACTTTAATGGATTTTTTCTTTTGGGGACACGTAAAAAGTCACGTGCACAGAACTCCTTGTAATAATGTGCTGGAACTTCGGCAATCAATAAGTTAAGAGAAACATCACTAAATGCAAGACATCATACAATTAGAGTGTGGAGAGTGTAGAGAACTCCGTTCAGGAAAATGGTGGTCACATGCAACAGTATTTAGAATTGTTAAGGAATTTTTTACTTTAGTGCGTCCTTTCATTTTTAGTGTTTTTGTTCTACTTTAATTTGTAAATAATTATTCTGGTTGCAGTCAGTCACGGCACTCTTTGAAATTATGTAAAAAATTCCTATTTTTGCCGCTTTGTCAAAAACGAGTGTTATATCATTGTAATCGGAATAAGATAGTCTATTAAACACATATCTAATATACAGGGTGTTTCATTTAAAAATATATGATGTAGGCTTATATGTCAGAAAATTGGTAGTGTTTGGTTTTATACGTCACTTGGAAAAATTTTTTGTTACTAACCCTACATTTTGTTTTTTTGTTACAGTCAATTAAAATGTTATCAAGATAAATTGAACGCCCGCTTCACCTTGTTCCAGGAAGGATATTTTAAGTGAAGATATGATATGGTGCGCTGGATACACCTTTGTTCGAGAATTTTATCCTCCACTTACCTAAAAACATTTATAGAGGATCTCGTGCCGGAATTCGAGCAAAACGAAGAAGTTTATGAGTTCAGTGCCATCCAATAAAATTTTCATGTGAATTGAATCGTGTTGTTCTCAGATACTTGTTGCGCTGTCGTAAAAACCGTCAACATGTCTGGTCCGTAGATACAGACAAAAACAAACTAACAAAAGGCCGCGGCGGGGGTGTAATGTGGTATATAATTAAATCGGTACGAAGATAGCGAAATATCGATTGGCTTTGTTTGAACCGGATGTAGGTCATTTGGTCGCTACATGTTTATAAATACGTTTTCAAGGTGAACATTACCCTCCGACACTTAATAACGCGAAGGACCCGAATTGCATGATGCAGTAAAGCGCCGTTAGTAATGGAAAACTAAGCTGAAGCTTTCCTCTAATCCAGACCGGGTAAAAGTTTTTCAGGGTTGGAACGATCGAGACATTCGCAAGGCTATCATAAACAATATTATTGTCGCTTCGGCCTTGAGTCGAAACAAAAGAAACGTCGTAATTTTATACGTTATTGGTAATACAACGTGTGACGTGGCACTTTAACTTCAACTGATGACGAGAGCAGATTATTTTATTTAATTTTACTTGTTCCTATAAAAGTTTGTTTTGTATGTTTTGCACGTGTTAACACAGATACGAAGAATGTCAATTATTTTTAGAATAATTATTCGAACCAAGGGCAAGACTTGAAGTTGGAAAATTTTAACGTAAAGTACGAATTGTGCTTTCTACTTATTGACCGTTTTCTATTAAGTATGGAGTTTTCTAGAGGTTATTTTACACCTTAACGCTATCGTAACAACAAATTCTCTTCGATATTTAGTAAACAAGATAACATTTGAACTGAAGTGGCTTTTACTTGATGAAAATCCATTTATCAAAATAAAGTAGAACTAAAAGTTCAGCTCTATGCATATCCTCTCGAAGTAAAAAGTTTGTGGTTTGTGGATCTCAAGCCCTTCTTTACAATATTTTCTATGTGTTTCAAATGTTAATGTTGGAGACCTAAATTTTTTAAAGTGTATCTGTACCAAAGATCACAATTATACGCATTATGCTTCGGTATATAATAATAGTATAAAAATAGTTTGGTACGTTTTTAATACGAGGGGGTACCCAAAAAAAACCGGAATCATTTTTTATAAACTATATGTTGTTTTGAACATCACAGAACGACCTTATCCCCTATACTCTCCATTACAACTAATACATTTGTCCCAGCGGTACTTCCACTGTTCGAAACATTTTTTATATTCATCTTTGGCTATAGCCGACAGCTCATCCCTCGTTTTTTTCTTGACCTCTTCAATGTTGTCAAATGGCTGTCCTTTCATGTCCCTTTTCATACGTGGAAATAAGAAGAAGTCACACAGAGCCAGATCAGGCGAGTAAGGTGCATGGGGCAGAGGAACCATGCCATTTTTAGCCAAAAACTGCTTAACAGAAATGGCTGTGTGTGCAGGTGCATTATCGTGGTGAAAGAACCAGTCCCCTGTCCGCCACAAATCGGGTCTTTTCTGTGGAATACTGTTGCGCAATCTTCTTAAAACTTCCAGATAAAAAGCTTGATTAATGGTCTCACCTGGTGGAACGAACTCTGCATGAACTACGCCGTTGATGTCGAAAAATTCAATTCCGATTTTTTATGGGTACCCCCTCGTACGTATGTAACATTTTTATTGCTGAAATTTGAATTGAAAGATTAAGGCAGAACTTAGAATTGAACATAACTTTGAATATAGGGACCACACGTGCTACTTGGTCTTTAAAGTACAGCAGATTTTTGAATTCGCGTATCTGTAATTACGGCATCCGCAATAAAGATTAGGGAAGATATATTGTCTATAATGAAACTCAGGAATAGTAAAACTTATCCGAGTGTTGCGACGCTTATAAATTATTCGCTTTGTGCGGTTTGCAATATGCCCAAACAGCTATAAGAAATCGGTTTATATTTTTAGTACGGCAGTAAAGTCAGATCCACATTAAGATCGGTAAAATTGTTATTTTAAAATGGATTTTCCTTCTAACGTTCTCAACCGTCTGGCGATTTTCTTTGTCACCGTTTATTTGCGTTGATATGGACCAGTAAACACTTCAAAGAAGAAAAGACTTTAAAGTGAATAGAGGTCGTTAGTTGGCGTTCTGTCACTTTCTGCTGAATCTCAGGTTTTCTCCGGACTGTCCGATAATCTACGTATAGAGCTGACAGCAAATAGAGCTAATAAAGAGCCTTTGTTGGACTACGAACATGCAGTTGCGTCGTATTTTTCTCTTTCTTTAAGCAAAAAGTGTAATTCAAATATCGCTTGATTTAAAAGGGGACGAAACTTCTGAACCGGAGTAAAAAAATCATCAGAAACGGTAATTAAAAGCAATAGCAATATTTATTAACGTATTTAATGATCGGTTGTCATTTTATTAAATAGCCTAACATACGTGTTACCATTGAACTAGAAATTAATAACAAACTCCCATTCTTAGATATTCTTATCACTAGCAAATCAGGCCTAACATTGGGTCATTGTGTTTACAGAAAATCTACGCACACAGGCCCAAAAACCATCGGTCATCAACTCTCTTGTTTACAGAGCCGTCAAACTATTTCAGCCCGAGTCATTGAACCCAGAATTAAAACACCTTATGGTCTGTTCATAGATAGAGAAAGTGACCAATTGCTTTTGAATGGGATTATCCAAAGGTAGTCATTACCATACAATGCAACAAGATTATTACCTAAAGTTTCGGAATTTAAATTCAGGTGAAATTGTGGTCCCTAATAGAAAATAATTTTATACCTACCTCTGTTTAATATTCTTTGGTTTGGTATACTACTTAGTTTAAGTTTATTAGTAATCATTCTTATCTCGTGTGAAATACAGCGTGTGTTGAATCGTGTGCGAATTATGCAAAATATGTGCGAATCTAATGTATCTCAGGAGATGCTCCCGTCCAAATGTAGAAAACACTATTCCATTGAGACTAAGGAAGTTATAAATAATGTTTATTTGACTCTGTATGGAAAATTGTGAATAATCCCATTTCAGCGAGGAAAAAAAGAAGTGATGCTGATATTTTCTCGACTGTAGATGAAAGTGATCAAGATATAATACGGCTTAAAATTTACCAGTTATACGAGGAACAAAGCGTGTCTACATTAGATATTCCTCCTAATAGCGTCATTGGAATGGACAATGCAAGTTATCACAGTAGACAGTTGACTAAAACCCCTTCCTCATGTGACACAAAAACAACAATCTCAAACTACATGTATAATAACAACATTTATTTTCACGAAGATTATACCAAAAAGTAATTAATTGAGCAAACAAAGCTTGAACCTACAAAAGGAATACGTCTGTGATAATTATGCAAAAAATCTAGGGCATACAGTTTTAAGGCTGCCATTCGTGTTAACAATGTTTTTCCCCGTGTTAACTCCAATATCCTCAAACTTACAGAAACCGAAGTTTTTAATATCCCTCCACAAAGTTGGGCAAATTCTGTTAAATATATAGAAAAAGCAGAACAATCTTATATCCATATTGCAAATAATATAGAACAAATAATAATTAGAACAGTCGATGATAGCGATAGTGATACTGATATATTATGTGAATAATTTTAAGTAATTTAAATAGGTAATAAAAATAGTGTGCAATTTTATTTTAGATTTAAACATAGTTACATACATAAATAAATAAATATTGTTCAGTATTTTTTTACCTCTGCTCTTCTCTCTAATAATTTCCATATTAAAGATATTAAGCGTTCCATCACAAAATACACTTCTCCACAACCTTCCAATAGCAATCCCCCTCTTGCCACTTTTGTCCTTCCTTACATTCAAAGCATCAATGACCATATATCAAAAGTTCTAAGGAAATATAACGTCAAAACCAGATGTACCACTTGTCCAAAAATCTCTTGGTTTCGTCAAAGACAAAATTCGATTTGAGAAGCCAGCCATGCATATGCGGCAAAGAATACATTGCAGAAACCGGACGAAAAATATCAACTAGGCTCAAAGAATATGAAAGAGCCTTAAGACTAAGACAAATAAGCTCATCAGCAGTTGCCGAACACAATCACGAAACCGGATAAAATTTTATTCTATAAAACTAAAATTCTTGCATGTCATCAATTCTTCTATCAACGGAAAATCCGAGAGTCTATAGAAATCTATAAGCAATCTAACAATCTGTCACCAATATGAGAATCTCAAACAATGTAAAAGCAGGTACAAAATGAGCCAGTTTCAGTCAAGCTCTGAAGAAGCCAACAGGATGATTGGCGAAACGTTAGCTAGGTCGACTAAACAAAAACCGACGCAGGAGGAATCCAGAAGTTTTATAAAAAGTATTGTGTTACATTTATTTTTAATTTAACCCTGTCTTTTGTCTATTTTTTTCAGGCTGTTAATCCTTTATTTTATAATTCACAGAAACAAAAGCGGAGATCTTTCTGAAAAACTTACAATAAACAATTTTGTGTCTATTCCCGTAATAGGTAGAAGTCTCCTGTAGACTATAGAAGAAATTTGTACTTTGTAGCGCCTTTCCTAACGCACTACAGAAATTCAAACCGGAAAGCACTTATTCTTGCGATATGATTTTAACCAAAACAATTTGATAAACTACAGATCACGTTTAACCGTCGAAATTTTAATAACATAACAGTTATTTTCATTTTCCATAATAAAATCTAATTACAAACAGCCAACGGTCATGTTCCGTGGCGATTTTTGCATATTTAAATTTATAAACGCACACGCGCTCGATTTTCACTTTGAATTTTATCGGAATATTAGGCGTAAAACGTTGCCCCGCTTTGGCGAATTAAATATCAAAATTAAAATACGGCCCCGCAATAAATAAATATTCCCCTCATTCCAATACGCGTTCTGCCCCGATTTAATTTTTGTCGTACGCGCAAGTGTCATTGTTTTCGTTTTAATTTTTAACGCTAAAAACATTTGCTCTATCGGTTACAAGCAAAGTGATTATTTTCTGTTGATATAGTGTATAAATATGCAAAGCAAATTGAATTTTTGCCGCATGAAACAGGGTAAAGCTGCAATTTTGAAATTCGCTTTTGTAGCAATATCGACGAATAAAATAAACACAGGG